TTATTTATTTATCTACCCCCAAGGTCAGCACCTTTTATAAAGATAGAACAAAAAGAAATTAGGCCACACTAGAAAAATGAGAAAAATTCAATTCAAACATTTGTGAAGTATTTACCCTGTGCACAATGAAAACTGGCACATTCCCTGCCTTCAAGGAGACTGGCAAGGTAGGTCAGAGCAAGGTTGTATTGGGTCTTAAATGCCAAACCAAGAAATTTGTAAGTGTTTTATCCCAGAGGTGATAAGAGCCCACTGAAGTTTTTTGAGCATGGAAGTGACATACCCATGTATTATTGAAAATTATTTTATCAGATGAATGAAGCACAAACTGTAGGAGAAGAGACTGCAGAGAAACAAATCAGGATGCTATTATGTATCTATAGATACATTGAATTTTTTCCTTGAGAGCTTCCTATTCACATCATTAGAACATTTGGAAGATAGTTCTTATTCTTAAAATTTTAAAAAAATTTTTTAATCAATTCCTTTCATATCTTGGAAATGAGAGAAATTAGCTGCAAATATTTTTTTCTATTAGTTGTTACCTTTCTAATCTTAGCTATACTGAATTTCTATGGGACATTTTTTTAATTTTATGTAATAAAAACTGCACATAATAATGGGCATATAGACTTAAATAGTTAAAGAAGTGTTAATTACTAATGAATAGGCTGAGCCAATATGACAATAACTACCTAAATTAATTTATTTATTCAATGCCATACACATTAAACTACCAAAGGATCACCTTATAGAACTAGAAAAAATAGTAACAAAATTAAACTTAAAGCTGAAAAGGTCAAGAATCTCAAGGAAAATAATAAAGAAACATGGGGAAGAAAGAGACCTAGCTGTACCAGATATCAAACTATGCTACAAAGCAATAATTTTCTTTTTTTTTAAAAAATTATTAATTTTTAGTTTTCAACATTCACTTTTATAAGATTTTAAGTTCTAAATTTCCCCTCTCCCCCTTCCCAATTCAGCATATAATCTGATATAGGCTATACAGGTACAATCATACTAAACACATTTCCCCATTAGTCCTGTTGTGAAAGAAGAATCAGAGCAAAAGGGATAAAACCGTGAAATAGAAAATAAAAGAGAGAGAAAATAGTGTGCTTTGATCTGCATTCAGACTCCTTAATTCTTTCTCTGGATATGGATAGCATTTTCCATCATGAGTCTTTTGGAATTGTCTTAGATTATTGCATTGCTTAGAGGAGCTAGGTCTAATAAAGTTGGTCATCGAACTCTACTGCTTTTATTGTGTACAATGTAATTCTGGTTCTGCCTACTTCACTCCGCGTTAGTTCATGCAAGTCTTTCTAGGTTTTTCTGAAATCAGCCTGCTCATCACTTCTTATGAAACAATAGTATTCCATTACATTCATATAACAAAACTTATTCAGCCATTCCCCAATTGATGGACATCCCCTCAATTTCCAATTCTTTGCCACCACAAAAAGAGCTGTAAAGCAGTGACTCTCAAAAGAAAAATGGCTACTGGTTGAAAAATAGATTGATCAGTACAACAGATTAGGTACATAATATATGGAAGCAAACAAACTTAGCAGACTAGTGTTTGATAAACCCAAAGTCCCCAGCTACTGGCATAAGGAATCACTATCTGATTTAAAAAAACAAAAAAACCAAACCTGCTGCTAGAACTGGATAGCAGAATGGCAGAAATTAGGTTTAGACCAGTATCTCGTACCATGTGCCAAGAAAAGTATCAAAGGCAGAAGTAACCTAGATATAAAAAGTTACATCACAAACAAAATAATGGAACCAGGGAGAAATTACCTTTCAGATCTGTGAATAAGGGATGCATTTGTGACTTCTTTAAAAAAAAAATCATTCTAGGGCAGCTAGGTGGGGCAGTGGATAGAGCACCAGCCCTGAAGTCAGGAGGACCTGAGTTCAAATTCGGCCTCAGACCAAACACTTGACACTTACTAGCTATGTGACACTGGGCAAGTCACTTAAACCCAATTGCCTTAAAAAAAATAAAAATAAAAAAATCATTCTGAATTTAATGGAACATTAAAAAAGAGAACATTACTATGTGCAAGTTAGAACAGAAAAAGAGGATTATATGTGAAATTTTGAATCTCAGTTCATAACTTGCTTTTTAAAAAGTATATAATATGTAAGGATGGGGTTGAATGAGCAAATCTCTCAAATCATTTCACAGTCCTCCACATCCCATCTAAAGTAAGTGAAATGTTCTACCTGGGTACCTGGTTTGGAATTAGTTTTATATTTTATAGATGATCCCTATGGAACCAAGTTTCCTCAGACAATCCCAATATTCTTTCTGTGCCATATCAGTCCTTTTCATCCATTGACTCATCAGGGACATCTACGGGACATTAAGGCCTTTTCATATTTAGTTGAACTGCCTTTGACTGATTTGATGAAATACAAAAACTTCTTCATCAGGTTAAGTGAGGTACCAGGGCATGGCATTTAATTACTTACTTTATGTAGAGATTGATTAACTCAATATACCCCTTACAAATATTCTGTCCTACCTGGCTATGTTTTCCTGCTGAATTTCCTTCTATTCTCTTCTGTGCATTTATAAAAATTCTTTGGTATCCCTCTTTTTCTTTTTCTGACAATACTACTGCTAACTCCATTCTTCCTCCTCAACCTCCTTCCCTATTTAAAAAAAAAAATGAAAAGCACAATCCTTGTAACAGGTAAGCTTAGTCAAAGAAAACAAATTCACACATTGGCCAAGTCCCCCCCAAAAAATGTATCTTTTTGCACCTCAAGTTATTAGCTAAGTAGCATACTTTCTCATCAAGTTTTCTGGAATCATCGTTGGTTATTGCACTGATCAGAGTTCTTAAGTCTTTCAAAGTTGTTTATCTTTATAGTGTTGTTCTTGTTATTACGAAAGTTATTCTTTTGGTTCTGTTTACTTCACTCAGCATCAGTTCCTAAAATCTTCCCAGGTTCTCTGAAACTATTCTTTTCAACATTTCTATTTTGTGGTAATATTCTATTACATGCATATACTACCCAGACTCAAACATAATTAGTTTACCCATTATTCAATTTATAAGCATCCCTTAGTTTCGAGTTCTTTGCTACAACAAAAAGACTGCTAAACACATTTTTTTTTTTAGTATATATGGGTTCTGTCTTTCATTGATTTTGTATATAGGCCTAGTAGTGCTATTGCTACATGTCAATGGTTATGTACAATTTAGTGTCTCTTAGGGTCATAGTTTCTACTTTTCTCCAAAGTGGCTGGACCAATTCACTGGTAAAGGAACAGTGTATTCTTGTGCCTGTTTTCCCACAGCTCTGCCAACAACTGTCATTTTCCCTTTTTTGTCATCTTTGCCAATCTGATAGATGTGAGATGAAACACTGGAGTTGTTTAAATTAGTTTTTATCTAATTATTCATGATTTGGAGCATTTTTATTTTCATATCTTTGTTGGTAGCTCGTATTTCTTTCTTTGAGTAGTAGACTTCTTAAGGTTTCTTCTAACCAGGAGTGACCGGGAGTGTACTGAAGATAGCTCAAACAGGCTTGTTAAATTTTCATTATGAGCATTTACAACCCAGAAATTGGCAATCCACACAAATATGGAATGATTTATGGCATTGTTGATCGTCCTGACTTAAGAAAGTGATGGAGAAAATGTTAATAATGCAAACAAAATTTGAATGTGTATCCCATAAAAAATTTTTTTTCAGAGAGCCCCTGTTAAGCATTTACCAGTTTTGTATGTCTTTTCCATAAAATAACTTTTATGGGGCAGCTAGGTGGTGCAGTGGATAGAGCTCTGGCCTTGGAGTCAGGAAGACCTGAGTTCAAATCTGACCTTAGTCACTTGACACTAGCTGTGTGACCCTGGGCAAGTCACTTAACCCCAATTGCCTCACCAAAAAGAAAAAAAAAAACAACCACCATAACTTTCATCAAGGACTTTTCTCTTTCCTAAGTGTTATTGCTACAGCTTCAGAGGAATTAAGCAGATCCAACACTTCCAAACTGCTGAGTAATTCTTCTTCTTCTTCTATTTTATTTTTTCCAATTACATGTAAAGATAGTTTTCATCATTCATTTTTTATAAGATTTTGAATTCTAAAAATTTCTCCCCCCCCCCTTTGCCTTTCCTAAGACAGCAAGCAATCTAATATAGGTCATACAGGTGTAATCATGTTAAACATTTCCACATTAGTCATGTTGTGAAAGAAAAAACTGAACAAAAGGGGAAAACCATGAAAAATAAAAAAAGTGAAAACAGTATTCTTTGATCTGCATTCCAACTTCACAGCAACCACCCTTCTGCAGGAGGGCTTTCCTTCAGCTGCTAATACCTTCCTATTTCAGACTACTTTCTTCTATATAAGTTGGAATCAAGAAAACTTGAGTTTAAATTCTGTCTCAACCCCTTACTTACATGTGTGATCACACAAGTCACTTACCCCAGCTTCAGTTTTTTTGTTTTGTTTTGTTTTTATCAGTAAAATGGTGATAATAATAGCACCTACCTTACAAGGTTTCCAGAATTTAGTGACATAACTTGTGTAAAGTGCTTTGCAAACCTGAAAATGCTAAATAAACAAGAGCTGTTACTGTTGTTGTTTTATATCTTGTAGGTATCTGTTTCTTCCATTACAATGAAAGGTTGTTGAGGACAAGGACTGTATTGTCCCTTTCTTTGTATCACCACTACTTAGCACAGTGCCTGGCGTATAGTAAGCACTTAATAAATGTTGAGTGACCGGCTACTAAATGCTCATTGACGGTCTGACGGACTGATCCTGCAGGTGCACAGGTATTTCCCTAAGGAAGGAGCTGCAGCTGCCGCTCAGGTTGGGACTGCAAAGGGAGGGAGGGAGGAAAAGTGCGAGAGGCTGGAGATGGCCCCGCCTCACACTGACTGACTCCGAGGAGGAGGAGGAGCCGCAGGAGGAGGAGCAGAAAGGGGATATCTGGCGGGACTTGGGGGCGTGGTCCCAGACGGAGCTGCCCCCTCCTCTCAGCCTCCAGACTTCCCCTCCCGGGCCCTGGCAACATCCGAGGGAGTCGTAGCAGCCTCTGCCTGGTGAGTCGGAGCTCCTGCTCTCTAGGCCGGCTCTCGGGTATAGAGCTAGAGGCGTCGGACGCGGGCGACGGGGTCTGGCCTGGGAACTAGGGGCCGGGGAGGATGCAGATGCCCAAGAGAGCTTGGGGAGAGGGCGGCGCGCGTTGGGCTTTACGCCCCGAGGGTGGGCTGGGGAAGGGGGATGCTGCGGCTGGTTCTAAGCCCAGGTACCCGGAGGCAGACTGGAGGCCCGGGACAGATCAGCTGCTGGCAAGCGGGGCCACGGATGGAGGCAGAGTTTGGAGCCCTTTGGTCCTTGGGGGCGGAGGGCGAGAGCGGAGGCAGGGCGAGGGTGCAGAAAGCGATAACCGAGGGGTGATGGACATTCCTGGGGCGCCATTACACCCCCTCCTCCTCTCCCACCTCCCTCTCAGCTGAGTTTCGTTTTGTTTCTGCGCTGCCAGAGGGGAAGCCAGCTGGTAAAGTGGGAGGGAAGGTAACTAGTCTAAAGCCCTCTCGGATTTCCGTTAGCCCTGGGCCTCTAAGAAGCCTTATAATGTGCTTGTGGACTACTCCGGGAGGAATGAATTGAAGTTACCCCTGCAGCTATGGGCTGGCCTTCTTCAAAGTGTGGAGGAGGCCGGGACTAAGGTGTCCTTTTTAGTATTTTCCCATTGTTATTTAAAAGATCAACCCTCACCCTTCCGCCCCCTGCCAAAAAAGGGGGGTGGGGTTGATTCAAGGCTTCCCAGTCTAAAGAGCGTATCTTTTGAATTGAATTTGAAAGATTGTAGAATTTCAACAGATGGAATTACGAGCTGTGCATTCACAGCTTAGTGTGTGTGTGTGTGCAGAAGCACATAGGCTAGGATTTGAGAAAGCAGAGACTTTTGGGTGAAGGGACGTAGTAGTTGGAGACTATGTGGATTTACTACGAGGTGAGGTTGGAAAGGTAGACCAGCGTTAGAATGTGCTGTGTGTGTTATCGAATATTCTTCCCAATACTTAACATTTCTAGTTTTTAGACCTACTAGACACGTTGGAGACCTCTGAATTATCCTGGTATCTTCCTGAGCACCCTGCAGTATTTTGCACATAATAGAGACTTTATAAATGGTGGTTGAATTATTGAATAGTATGCAGGCCTGTAAGTCCTTGGTCATTTCCACAGGTCAGTGATGGCCTTGAGGCAGACTCTGGACAATTGTGATCTAGGCTGGTGGAACTTGGGGCTGCTCTTGCCGTCCTGGTCCTTATAAGTAGTCCCCACTTTAACTGCCCTATGGTTCAGATCTGACTAGGTATAGTTCAGGGGTGGTTCATTAGTTTCAGCTGTTGATTTGTCAGTTTCCATGTAACATCCCCACGTTGACAGCAGAATTTCACTTTCAATTTCTCTCTTATTCATTTCTTGCTTAAAGGTTTATTGTGCATGTACTAAGTATAAGTTTTTTTTTTGCTAGGTTATAGGGAAGGGAGGAGAGAGGTTGTAGAGAAAAGGGCATGTCTTTAGTGAACTTTAAGAGTAAACTGGGTATCATTTTAAATGATTTCTTCTTTGAGGTGATGGGCACAACTGTAATTGATATCTTTGAGTTCCTCCTCTCCTTCCCCCTCTTCTCTTCCATTGGGTAAAGAGGGTCAATCGCTAGCTAAATTATAGGAAAGGAGACAGTATTAAGAAGGGTACAACCAAAATGATGCAAGGGTTAAGAAAAGGGAGAAATCGCTTTCATTCATTCAACAAGTATTTATTAAGCTCCAACTGTATTCGAGGAACAAGGGATACAAAGGAAAAATGAAGCCTTCTGTTTTCAAGGATCTTATCTTCTTTTGGGGAGGAGTCAATATGTAGGTAAATACGTATCAGTATTTATACTGATCAGTAAATATAAAATATTTGCAAAATTATTCACCATTATTTAATCATTATCACAAATGTCAATAGTAATGTTTTATTAAAAGATGTGGTGGCAATAATCTTGGAGTCAGGAGACATACTAAAATGTGAGCTGCTAAAATAGTTGTGTAATCCTGGGTGGCAACTTCTTTCGTGTCTCTGAACCTCATCTCTGTACTATAGGATGGGAGTAATAATTATTTGGTATTATGTACCTTACAGAATTTTTGTGAGTGAAGTACTCTGTAAACCTTAAAGGGCTATTTTTATAAATATGAGCTATGTGGAGGCACATTGAATAAGTACAATTACCACTTTCAAAGAAACATGTTGGAGTTATTCAAACCAGCATACCTGGAGCTGATTGTTAAAATTTTGAGTGTGAGCATTTCCCCTGGGAAATCAGCAAACTTGACTTATTTTTTTCTTGATTGTCTAGATTTAAGAAAGTGAGGGAGAAAATGTAAGTAACAAAGAAAAACAGTTGGGCAGCTAGGCGGAGCAGTGGATAGAGCACCAGCCCTGGAATCAAGAGGACCTGAGTTCACAATCCAGCGTCTTACACTTGCGAGCGGTGTGACCCTGGGCAAGTCGCTTACCCCCATTGCCTGAAAGAAAGAAAGAAAGAAAGTGTAAAAACACAGATTAAACCTAAGTGTTCTGTGGATATTTCCTCTTGGAGAACTGGTTGTTAAACATTTACCAGCACACACCAAGCTCTGGACCTCAGTTTCCTCACCTGCCAGATGAAGTATTACTCAATGATCCTCTAGGCTCCTTCCAGTTTGAACATGCAATGATTCTACGAGGAATATGGAATATAGGAATAATCAGTACCCAAAGTCTACCAGAAGCCCAGAAAGCTTCCTGACTGAAAATGACTTTAACATTGTAAACTGAGGAATAAGGTGCATTAGAAATGGCACTGTGAAGTTTTTGCAAGAGAATGAGTGGGTAGTTTTTGAGCATTTGAAGGATGAGTCTGGTCTGGGAGTACATTTAGGGCAGGTGACATAAATGTATTCTTGACCTGGCTTTCTACACAGAAAGGCTAAATAGAAAAAGAAATGTCTGTTGCCCAGATTGACATATATTTGAATGGATAACCTGTAGAGTTTATTCCTCTGTACATATTTCTTGAACAAATAGCACAAATGGCTGGCTGTGTGACCCTGGGCAAGTCACTTAACCCCATTGCCTAGCAAAAAAAGAAAAAAAAAGAAAAAAATAGCACAAATGGAATATGAGTTGGGCCCAGAGGAGAAGGAATAATGAAAAAGCACTTATTAGGCACTTAACTATATGTCTGACACTACACTAAGGGATGGGGATACAAAAACAAGCAAACGAGACAGTTCTTGCCTTCAAGAAGTTTACAGTCTAAGAGTGGAATACAACACATATTAGGGATGCCAGAATTGAAGGAAAAGTGGGCCAAGGGTTTGGAGATGGCCTAGGAGATGCCTGCTCATGTGGCATGTGAGGGATGACAGGTGGACAGGCAGGCTAGTACATTGATTGGACCCTTTATGAAGAATTTAGATAAAGACATGGACTGGAGTCTCACTGGGTGGGCTGGTCTAGATGGTTTGGAATCTGCATTATTGGAGGAAGCAGCTTCCTTATCAAAGAGATCACAGATCCATTTGAGAATGAGTGATTTTATCCTAGGCCCTGGGGATCCAAGGAATGTGATGCCCTTAGCACTTCCTACACTGTGGGTCATGACCCCATATGGGGTCACAACTCACAGTATAAGAAGCACTGAAGGGGTCATGAGTGGAAAAAGTTTAAGAAGCCCTGAGAGAATGGAGGTTGTGCGAGTTAACTTTGATACAAGTTTGATTGTGATTAAATGCATGGAAAGGTCAAACAGTAGCTTGAGAGATTCCTGGAGGCAGGGTATCACTTGGAATCGTGGTGATGAAGAAGGAGGGGACACAGGCTGGGCTTTGAAGGAAGAAAAGGATTTTAGTAGGCAGAGATGTGGGAGATTGGCTGTTCCAAGTTTATAAGAGTGTGCCAAATCCTGTGCCCTATCCACCTAGCTGCCCCATAAAAAAAAAGGGAGTGGGGGACAGAGCTTGATGATAATGGAGTCCAAACCAGAGTTGCTAATGTAAAGAGAACAGTTCATTGGAAAGTTCTGAAGGTTTAAAGCTCTCTATATAGGAAGGCTTTGGAAGAGCTTAGGGCTCTACCTCCCAGCCCTGCAATCTGAGGGGAGAGGCTACTAAGAAGGAGGTATTTTGTTTAAAGAACTGAGTCACTCTGTCTGATGATGATGAGATTTCAGGTGGTTAGCTAATCCTGGGTGGGGCATAATGTTCCTTGGGGTCCAAACTTAGCAGAGCTGCTAATGGAAATTTGAGAGTTACCTGGTGACCCTAAAAATCTGTGTGATAGGCAGGAAACAATTTCTCTGGGCCTCAGTTTCCTCATTGGTAAAATTCAGGGATTTGACTCAAGGGGCCAGAAGGACCCTTTTAGCTCTAAATTATAATCCTATGATATTTCTGGCACTGTACAGCCCTCTACTTCCAGGACCCAAAATATGAGCGTAGTACTATTGGTATAATAGTTTGACCAGATTCTGAGTTTTATTACATTTGTGGGTTAGTTTTTGTACCTAACCACCATTGTGTAGGGACATTGTTTTGATGTGAAAGTTCTGCGAGGTTCCAAACAACACAGCAATTTTTGGCAGCTTCACCTCTGACTCAGACTATTGCAACAGCCTTCTGATTGGTTTCCCTGCAGCAATCTCTTGACCAGAAGAGAGGAGACCTTAGAGGCCATTTAGTCTAACCCCCTCATTTATGGATGAGGAAACTAAGGCCCAGAGAGAGTAAGTAACCTGCCCACTGTCATACAAATAATAAGTGGCAGAACCAGAATTTCTTGACTTTCTTGTCTTCATTACAAAAAAAGCGCAAAAAATCCTATTGCATATAATCTTTTCCCTGTGTATCTTTTCTCATATTTATCCTTTTCCTCCATACATTTAATTATAGTGAGGCTGTAGTTTTTTCACTGACTCTATCCCAGTTTTGTAGCACCCATTCAGTCCTTTATTTTGCCACTGGAAAAACTCCACATAGTTTACTTTTCGTATTCATTCTCTGGATTTTGATCTTTCTGTTACGTTGAAATTTTCCACTTGTGTTTCCTATGCATAAAGTCACAAGATTTCAGAGTAGTCAGGGACTTCAGTGACCAAAATCTTAGTCCAACCCATACCCAAAAAAGAATCCTCACTACAAGATAACTGAACAAATGGTCATTGTCTCTTTGCCTGAAGGGACAATTAAGATCCCTAGTGAGAAGGAACCCACTTATTTTTTTACATCATTCTCTTTGTTAAATTTTTCTTGATATTGAGCATAAATTTACTTCTTTGCAGTTTCTGCCTCTTGCTGCTCATTCTGCATGCTTTGGGACGTGTGATGTGTAAATGCCACATGGGACAATAACTGATGGTAATGGGGAATTCATTAACTAATGATAATGAACTTGATTGTCCTCTGAGTGACAGGGAACATACTTTTCTATGATTTACTTGGGCTTCGGAGAAGAGCCTCTTCTTTATTCCACCCCAAATTCTCTTCCTGAGCCAAATATGTAGTCATGTCTGGGGAAAATCATAGACTCACGAGTTGGCTGCCTACGCAGTGACTGTATTTTATTCTGCTTACCTTTAAGAATATCAAAGAAGTTGTTAGGGACTATTGTTCCACTAAAAGAGTTGATTCTATGGAGGATGAGCATAGATCACATAAAAAATAGGTGTAAGGTAACACCTTGGGACATCTAGGTGGCACAGTAGATGGAGTGCCAGGTCTGGAGTCAGGAAGACTCATCTTCCTGAGTTCAAATGTGGCCTCAGACACTTACTAGCTGTGTGACCCTGGGCAAGTCACTTAACCCTATTTGCCTCAGTTCCTCTATCTGTAAAATGAGCTGGAGAAGGAAATGGCAAAATACTCCATTATCTTTGCCAAGAAAATCCCAAATAAGGTCACAAACAGTCAGACATGACTGAAACAACTGAACTGAGCCTTTCAGAATCTCTCCCCTCTTTCCTTTCTCCTATTTATTTATGCCATCCTCTAACTATTCACATATTTCTGCAAAAAAAAAAAAATTTGTCTCCATGGGTCAAAATCAACTTGGTCTCTAAAACTAGTGGTTGGTGAATTGACCTTATTCATTCAACCAGATCTGCTGTGTGTTAGAGTTTCCTTTTTTTTTAAAAGGTTATATATAAGGGAATAGTTTTAAATTGGAAATAATAATAGTTAACATCTATATAATACTTTAAGATTTTCAAGATTATTTTATTCGATTCTCTCCTCACCCAGGTACTGTTATTAAGCTCGTTTTGCAGTTGGAGAAATGGAGGCTCAGAGAGCAAGGGTTGTTCGGGGTCACATAGCTAATGTGTGAGGCAGAATTTGAAGTCATATCTTCCTGACTCTCAGTCCAGAACTATACCACCTAGCACATAAACACCTATTTCGCATATCCTTATATTTCAGTTTGGAATGCCTGTTTGAAATAAAACATCTTTTGTGATTGTTTTCCAGAAATTATTGGAACAGAACCACAGGAAAAGAATTGCCATTGCTGTACCTGTTGACATACAACTTGTGATTGCATTGTGAAGTTTCTTCTAGGTTAACCATTTCCCCCCCTGCCTCATGAGAGGTGGTGAGGGACATCTTATCAGTCTAATAATAAGGCATGGGTATACACTTGACTCTTCAGATTTCCTATAAATTCAGACTGTTGCTGCTCTTTGCATTATGCATGATGGTGATTGGATGGGCCACCTCAAGCTACCTGGTTGCTGCCATCCAAGAGATTCCTAAAGCAAAGATTTTCAACAGGACCGTAATTTGGAGAAAGGAGTTAGCTTCATCTAATACAACTTCCATGACACAATCAACATTGAAAAAATGTCCTCTTTTGTCTCCATACCTGAGTAAGTATTTTTTTTGTTTGTTTGTTTGTTTTTTTGCTTTTTGGTGAGGCAATCGGGGTTAAGTGACTTGCCCAGGGTCACACAGCTAGTAAGTGTCAAGTGTCTGAAGTCATATTTGAACTCAGGTCCTCCTGATTCCAAGGCTAGAGCTCTATCCACTGTATCACCTAGCTGCCCCTCTGAGTAATTATTTTGTGTTTGATTTTAATTTTCTTTGGATGTGATTTCTTTAGTGTAAGAAACTGAGGAAATTTCCTCTACCAAATCACATCTGCAATTTTGAGTCTTAGAGGTTTTCCTGGGAACACTGAGCATGGCTTCTGTAGATTGAGAACCAGAAGGGACCTTGAAGGTCCTGTCTTCCCTTTATCTCCAGCCTCTCTAGAATAATAAAATAGCTGCCATTTATATAGCACTTCAAGGTTTGCAGAGTGCTTCGCATATGTGCTATCATTTGATCTTTAAGGCAACTCTATGAGGTAGATGTTGTTATTATCCCTATTTTGCAGATGAGGACACTGAGGCTGAGGTTAAGTGACTTGCCTGTAGCACACTGCTAGTAAATTTGATCTTCTTGACTCCTCTATCCACTGTACCACCTAGTGGCCAAGACGTGAGCCTTCATGTGCTCCCTGGGTAGAAGATAGGTCATTGCAATTAATTTGGGTTTGGCTGCTTTTTAGGGTTCTTTTTCCTTTGGGTCATACTGTAGTCTTTGTGTATATTGTTCTCCTGGTTCTGCCCTCTTCAGTTAAATCTATTCATTTGTCTCTGTCTCCCTATGTTTCTGTGACATCCTTTTGTTTGTTCTTTCGTATAACCCAATAGTAATCATACTCTATTAAATTCACGACACATGCAGTCTGTTTGTTCAGTTGTTCCTCAATCTTGCATTTTTTGTTTTGTTTTTGCTGACGTAAAAAAGGTCAGCAAGCATTTGTGGAACTTCTACTTTGTGCTCTGCACCTTGGAACCCCTTCCAAATCTCTCGGGTATGTTTTGAGGGCTGTAGAAATAATTTCCTTTGTCTCAACCCAGGTGGCTATTATTGAGTCTTGAAGGTTTTTATATCTTTATTAACGACCATTTAAGTGTGCATAGCTCTGAAAGGTAACACTTTAATGGATATTATACCTTTTTTTTTTTTTTTTTTTGGCAAATAGGGTTAAGTGACTTGCCCAGGGTCACACAGCTAGTAAGTGTCAAGTGTTTGGTCTGAGGCAAGTGTTTGGTCTGAGGCCGGATTTGAACTCAGGTCCTCCTGACTTCAGGCTGGTGCTCTATCCACTGTGCCATGTAGCTGCCCCCGTAAGTCGCTATTATTACTGGAGAAGGAAAGACTATGTTATAGAGAAGCAAAAACAGAATAAATATGGGGTAACTAATCAGGATGGAAAAATCAGACATGAGAGTAGAATAAGGAGAAAGAACTGAAGAAAGGAAAGAATCAGATTAAAAGGGTTTTGGAGAGAAAGTGAAGATAATGGGTTTTAGATAACTTTGATTTTAGGGTAAAAGCAAGATATTTAGACATTTACCAAAGCGGCATCTAGCCAAAGGGGAGTGAGGTCAGGAATGGAGCTGATGGTTTAAGAATCATTTGATAGAGCAGCAGCTAGATGGCGCAGTGGATAATGCTCTGGCCCTAGAGTCAGGAGGACCTGAGTTCAAATGCGGCCTCAGACACTTGACACTTACTAGCTGTGTGACCCTGGGCAATTCACTTAACCCGAATTGCCAAAAAAAAAGAAAAAAAAAGGAATCATGTGATATAGTGACTTAATAAGTGGTTTTATAATGGGCAAGCAGAATTCCAGGGATATATGAGGGGTGGGATAGGAGGAGGTGCTCTGAGTCATATCCATTGGCGTGTGAGGAGGAAGTAGATTAAATAAATTAAGTCAATGAGATAGGAAGAGAATTTTTGTAGTGGAGAGTGAAAAAGATAAGGGTTAGGAAATTTTTATTATTTATGTATTCATTCATTTATTTGTTTTAGGTTGGGAAATTTTTAAGAAGGATATTGAATGCTACAGGGAACTTAAGAGAAGATAAAATAGACTTGGCAAAAACAGATTGGGCACCTGGGAGGAGCAGCCCCTAGGGAATGAACTTTAGGATATCTGTAAAAAAAAAAAAAAGAAAGCAGGAAATTTTAATCTAGTGTATGTGAACTTTTTAAAAAAATAGTTTGATATTTTTAAAAATATCATTGATTTCCTTCATAATCCTGTGTATTTACATTATGCATTTAAAAAATGCATATTATTGTCAGGAGTAAGTCCATAAGCTTTACCAGCCTGTGATAATGGCCTGGAACAAAAAAAAAAAAGTCGAGACCTCCTGAACAGAAAGTTTAGAAGCCTTAGCAAGGACCTAGTAGAAATTAGATGGAATGGAGTTGGTGAATCTATTCCAGGGGTGGGGAACTTGCTGTTTTAAGGCCACATGTGGCCTTGTAGGTCCTTAAGTTCAGCCTTTTGACTGAATCCAGATTTTAAAGAATAAAAAGTTATAATTAATTAATCAGCAACACAAATACTCTTTTGCATCTGGTGTTAATTTTCTAAAAGTGTATTTCTTTCTTATTTGAATATTAGCAGTAATGTTTTCCCTACCTAACTTGTCAGGGTATTATGAGGATTAAATGAGATAATGTATTTCAGAAGCTCTTTGAAAAATCTACAATATTATACAATTTAAAGTAGTAGATTTTTGAAGAACATTGTATCATAATATACCCAAGATGTTATAGTGTAGATAGAGCACTGGACTTGGAATCAGGAAGACTCAGTTCAAGTGCCTCACATACTTAATAGCCATGATATAGATATTGGGCAAGTCACTTAAATTCTCTCAGCCTCAATTTCATTATCTGAAAAAAAGGGATAATAATAGCACCTACCTCAGAATTAGGGTTGTTGTAAGGATCCAAAGAGAAAACATATTTAAAATGCTTTGCAAACCTTAAAGCTCTATATAAATGCTAACTATTATTATTTCAAACATCACTTAAAAACTGATTTGTTTTGAAGCAAATTGGATAGTAGGCTGGACTTCTCTTCCAACTCTAAATATATGCTTTGCTTCATGGATATATAAAATTGCTTTGCTTATTTTACTAATTTGAAATCAGAAACCTCCAGATAAGAATGTGATGTAAAATCATTTGCGTTTTCTTTAAGGTAGCTAAGTTCTTGTGAACACAGTAGAATGATAATGCACCCTAGCAGGTTCTCATATTCCTGGCACCTAAAAAATCCCATGGTATGCCGGGAAAAAAACTCTACTTTTTTTTCTTCTACTTTTTGATTAATCATATTTAGAATTTGAGTCACAGGATCTTGACTTTAGGTCTGGAAGTAACCTTGGAGATCATTCAGTCCAAGTCTACTTTTATAGATGAATGAATGCAAAAGCAGGGGCAGCTAGGTGGTACAGTGGATCAAGTGCCAGGCCTAGAGTCAAGAAGACTCCTCCTACTGAGTTCAAATCTGGCCTCGGACACTTCCTAGATTGTGACCCTTGGCAAGTCACTTAACCCTGCTTGACTCAGTTTCCTCATCTGTAAAATGAGCTGGAGAAGGAAATGGCAAACCACTCCAATATCTTTGCCACAAAAATGGGCAAATGCCCCAAATGGGGCCCCAAAGAGTCAGACGCAACTGAAAAAAAGGACTGAACAGCAGAATGCAAAAGCATTTATTAAGTGCTTGCCATGTGCCAAGAGATGTGTTAAGTACTCGGGTGTAAATGCAAGCATTTTCAAGAAACTTATATTCTGATAAAGAAAACAACCTATATAGGAGAATACTAGCCAGAGAAGAGGGATCATGGGGAATTCATTAACTAATGATAATGAACTTGATTGTCCTCTGAATGACAGGGAACATGCTTTTCTCTGATTTACCTGGTCTTGGGAGAAGAAAGAGCCTCTTCTTTATTCCATCCAAAATTCTGTTCCTGAGCCAAATATGTCGTCATGTCTGGGGGAGAAGCTCTAGCTACATGGTATATTACCACCTTAGACATAATAGGACAAAATGTTCTTTAATAATCCTAGTACTTTAAATTGTATGGTTTTGGACAAGGAAGGCAGAGGGAATGATGGTTGAAGTTGTAAGATTATGATCAGCATGTCCTTTCCAGGAATGGTATGTGCCTTTGATTGCTCTTCTTGGAACTAGAGGTGGGGTGGAAGGTAACATTGGAAAAGGAGTGGGAGAAGGTAATGTAGTATGAGTTGGTACAGAGATGGAGCAGTGTGGTTGGTGGGCTCGGGAGGTAAGGCGAATGCTCTGCAAGGTCTGGCAGCCTCAGTTCTGGGCCCAGATGGAGGCTGCAGAATAGACAGCATACTGTGGAGATGAGAAACCAAGGGCTAGGGAAGTGAAGTGACTTACCTCAAGTGACCCAGATAGCGTGTGACAGAGCTGTGATTTGAAGCTCTGACACCATATTCAGCCCTCCTTTTTCATGGCAATTTGTGTTTGTGGGGAAGCCATTTGATTGTATTTGTGACACATTAAAATAGGTATTTGTGTTGAATACGGGACACATTTAATATATGCCTACTATGTGCTGGTCATTGTATATATATAGACCCCCACAAAAAAGTTTCTGCCCACGCAGTTATCATTTTACTGAGTGAGGGAGGTGAACAATGTAGATGAAATTAGTTAAGTATAGAATGTATATGAAGTATGTGTGAGAGTGGGTTCTGAGCATGAAGTTGGGGAAAACCTCAACAACTAGGGAAAATCAGGAACGACATCTTGTGGGAGTTGGCACTTGAGATGAACTTTTCGGGGAGCAAAGGATTACACGGGGCAGAGGAGAGGAGGGAAGGCAACATAGGCAGAGGGGATGGCCTATGGAAAGGTGTAGATGTAGGTAGTGTATGGGAACAGGGAGTTGACCAGTTTGGCTGAGACTTGAGGGGAGGGGAGGATAGGGTAATGTGAAATTGATCTGGTTAGCTCTGGTCTTCTCATCAGGAA